CCCATTTAAGCCGTTGGCCTGCTCTCCTCTTCTTTGGGGACCGTCATCTCTTGCTGGAGTCATATTCGTTAGCTCTCTGGTATGTATCATCCTTAGTTGTCACATGGGAGCCCTCATCTTACTGGCTAATTAACCCACATAGTGATCAGACTATTGTCTGGGCTACAGAATGCTAATGGGGAGCTGGTAAAGCTGGTGGTGGTTGATCTGGTCCTACTGGGAGGATGGATGATGTGTGGCGAGGCACCTTAATCTTCCTCAGGGTGTAGAGAAAGTTGCGTAGAAGTAGATGAAAAGTTGTGTTCAAAAGATTCTATTTGATAATTATTATCCAAGTTTGGGCCGTGTCTCTTAAAATAACTTAAAAATAAAATTAAAAAAGGCAATATATGAGTTTTGCTCCCCTCTCTCCGTGGCACGATGCTCTGCCGTCCCCGCGGGGCTGCGGGCGCTTCCCAGCCCCTGCCCTGACTTTCTAGGTAAGGAATTAGCTGCAGCTTGACGAGGCAGTTCCAGGTTGATGTCCCTAATTAATCTGTCACCTCATCAGCGTCTTACAAAATCCGTGGTGGGAGTGCACGGCTTGATGAGGTTGATGTCCCTAATTAATCTGTCGCCTCGTCAGCGTCTTACAAAATCCGTGGTGGGAGTGGAGGCTGTAAACACGGTGTGAGATTCCAGTGAACCAGGGCTTTCTCTTTTCCGTTGCCTTTCATCAGCTAACGGCAAAGCTCCTCAAAAAGAGATTCCAGTGAACCAGGGCTTTCTCTTTTCAGGAGGCCACTCTACAAGATCTCAGCGTCCCTCAAACCAGGACACACTGGTTGCTCTGGGGTTGAGTTGGAGGATGCCATCGGGGTGGTCATCAACCCTGTCCTCCATGCAGGAGCTGTGTTGGCACTGGCATCTGCTTTGACCTTCCCCTGGTGGAGCTGTTTGGAAGAGACCACGCAAGGAAGGGTTCCTCATCCCTAAATGGAGTCCTTGTCCCATTCCCGCTGCGTGGTGTTGGGGTGAATTCAGCAGAAGGAAGAAACAGGGAGGACGTTCCATTTCTCCTGGGTACCACCCTAGTTGTGCAGAAGAGGGATGCTTTTTTGGGTGGTTCTTGGCTTGTGGCAGCAGATGAGGTCTTCCAGCTCCGTTGGGGAGTTTTCCTCATGGATTTAATGGCCTGAGACTGGGTTTTTGAGGTATCTCATCCCGTGAGTGATGATGGAAGGTGGAGGTTGGAGTGAAGGCTTTGGGTGGTGGTTTTAAATTGAAAGGGGGGAGATAAAGATGAGATCTGGGAAGGAACTTTGGTGTGAGGATGGTGAGAGCCTGGCCCAGGTTGCCCAGAGAAGCTGGGGCTGCCCCATCCCTGGAGGGGTTCAAGGCCAGGTTGGAGGGGGCTTGGAGCAACCTGGGCTGGTGGGAGGTGTCCCTGCCCAGGGCAGGGGGGTTGGAACTGGATGGTCTTTAAGGTCTCTTCCAACTTGAACCATTCTGTGATTCCAACTAACCATTCTAAGCTTCTAAAGATGGGTCTAAGCTTCTAAAGATGGGTCTGAGGTTCTCAGAAGGCTGAGGTGGCCATCACCGTGGGATGGGTGGTGGCTGCTACGCTTCTTCTCACTTTAAGTGGGGGAAAAACCCCCCAATCTCTCTTTTGTCACCTTTTTTTTCAATAAGGAAGTATTTGATCATTTAAAATTGGTGGTGTATGAGCTAAAACAATTCCTTCAGAGCAACCTTTCAGTTTTTTGGGGAATATAATGTTCGTAGGGTGTTGAAAATGTTTACAGCCACTTAAGGATGCTTATTCTGCTGATGGAACCACGGTAACTTGTATTGAACAGGCTTCCATTATTGTAGAAAAACGAAAATTACTTTGGAATTTTTGATTAAATTGACTTTCCAGTCCCATCTTCAGGCTTTTTTTTTATTTTTTTAAGATCTCAGCACTTCAAAATCTTGGATACATTATCTCATGGTGTAACGCCGAAGCGTGGGGCGGTGGTTTTTGAGTTGGGTTGTTGGGGTTTTTTTCACCCCCCTCCTTTTTTCTTTCTGTGTCGAAGCTCAGGAGGTTGGAGAACTTCTTGATTCATCCCTTGGCTGGGTGGGTTCCCAGCTGGGCCACCTCCTGACGTCATCGTGGCCTCTGGATGCTGTGAATTGTCTGGAGAGGGGATGGGATGGGATCAGCCGGTCCTTCATCTCATCTCCTGGGTGGTGACTAAGGGAGGAAAGAGGGTGGGGAAACCAGAGGAGCTGAGTAAAAGCAACTGGAAAGCTCATCCTGCTGGAGTGGTTTAACGGGCTTACGGACCTACGTGATGGTCCCTCCTGGGCTTTTCCAACAGCTCTGCCCACCTCGGTCCGTGCCCTTTGGGCAACGTGGCTCTGGCAAAGCAACCTCTGGGAGCTGGCAGCTTGAAATGGGGGAGGAAGCTGAAGGTGCAGGCTTCCAGCTGGGTTTAGAGTCACTAAGATCTCAGGAAAATGTTGTCTAAAACGTGACCTGTCAGAATTGGTGAGGCACTTTTTAGATGTATAGATCTTATGCTCGATGGTCCTTCTAAATGCCACCTCTAATTTCTGAAAAAAAAGAATATATACTTGGGTGGAACGGAGTAAATCACAGTTATATGTGTAAATTGGAGAATAAGTGATACACATCAGGAGGCTGACTTTGGTTTTAGGTGAAGAGGGGTTGGTTGGTGTGAAAACTTCAGCAGAACCAGTTTGGGGGCTCCTTGGGGGTTTGAGGTCCGTCTTTTCTGGGTAACTCTGAAGGTGTGGGGAGCAGAGCGGGCAGCAGGTTGATTCACAGGGAGGAATGTGATGATGGGGAGGGGATTTTGATGAAGGAGGGGAGCCATAGGATGAGGGGGAAGGGTTTGACACTGAAAGAGGGGAGATGGAGATGAGATATTGGGAAGAACTTCTTTGCTGGGAGGGTGGTGAGAGCCTGGCCCAGGTTGCCCAGAGAAGCTGTGGCTGCCCCATCCCTGGAGGGGTTCAAGGGCAGGTTGGAGGGGGCTTGGAGCAACCTGGTCTGGTGGGAGGTGTCCCTGCCTGTGGCAGAGGGTGGGACTGGATGATCTTTAAGGTCCTTTTCAACACAAATAATTCCATAATTCTATGAAATTCAACCAAAGAGATGGAGGGAGCAAAGGTGAATTGCCCAGGAGCTCCAGTGACCTTCTCAGAGGGCTTTAAGTGGGAGCTTGAGGCTTATGGGTTCCTTCTCTCCTGGAGACATTTGCTCTTGCTGAATTTCTCCTTCAGTTCTTGGGTCTGCATCCCTTCCTTCAAGAAGATCTTCTTGTGCTTCTCCATTGCTTGTTCTGGTGGAGGTAGGGCCTCCTCGATCCCTCTCCTTGAAGATCAAGAACTTCCTCTCCAGCTGTGTCCTGGAAACAAAGAGCTGTTGTGTCCACCCCTTGTCCTTGCTGTGTGCAGGGGCCCTGCCAGAAGAGGGTTTTCCTTCCCTCTATCCCAACCAGCATCTCCAGATTCATTATTTTTTTATATTAATCGATAGTTGTGATTAGAGCAGCATCTTTGAGCAGCTTTCAAAGCGTGAAGTCATCATCTTGAGAGTCATCATTTTGAGAGTCTCCTTCACGTACCCAGGCAAATTATGAGATATTTAAAGTAAATTAGGAAAAGGGGACCAAATTCCACCCTGCAGGCGAGATGACGCTTGAGACACTTGGTCTGCAAAGGTTGCTTGTAGGTGTCTCCAGATGAGGTTGGCTGTAGAAGGTCATTTAGCTCCACGTGCTTTGGAATTTGGTTTAATTAAGGCTAAATTTGGTCAAGAGGGAATCCAGGAGACACTCTATCTCTCTCCAAATTTGGTGTTGCCTGCTTTTCCGGTCCTGGAATGGAGAAAAGGTCCTTCTCTCTCTTTCTTGCATGTCACCGACCTGCCTGTCTCTCCAAATTTGGTGTTGTCTGCTTTTCTGGTCCTGGAATGGAGAAAAGGTCCTTCTCTCCACACCCTGCCCAAATGCCTGAAGCACCTTAGGAAAGAGCCCGCCCCCGCAAACTTTTTCATTCGATCCCTCCCCCCAAAAAAAAATCAGACAAATGTTCCATTCACCCAGCAAAGGAGAAAAATTCCACGTAATATTACACAACGAGCCTTATTTGCATACGACAAAACTGCTTGAGCTCCCCCTTGGCAGTTCAAGGAGCGGCTCCTTCATCCCAGGGGGGAAGAGTATGGTTTAAATAAGGCTTATTGATAACGGGAAGCAGATGAGCTCTCAGCAAATCGATGATTTTTTAAAAATTATTATTATTTCTTTTAGCTGTATCCTATACAGGTTGTGAGACAGACCTTTTTCTCCCTTTTATAAATAAACGAGCCTTATTTGCATACGACAAAACTGCTTGAGCTCCCCCTTGGCAGTTCAAGGAGCGGCTCCTTCATCCCAGGGGGGAAGAGTATGGTTTAAATAAGGCTTATTGATAACGGGAAGCAGATGAGCTCTCAGCAAATCAATGATTTTTTAAATTATTATTATTTCTTTTAGCTGAATCCTACACAGGTTGCGAGACAGACCTTTTTCTCCCTTTTATAAATATTTAATTTGGTTTTAGGTCAGCGAAAGGCTAATGGATCTGTGGACTTTATTCCATTTGCAGGATCTTTTTGGAGGATACCCAATCAATGCAAAAAAATAAAATAAAATAAAAATCAATATAAACCCACTGTTTTTTCTGGGCGAATGGGGGTGTCGTAGAGAAAAAAGCCCTCCACGTTTCTTCACCCTCTACTAGAGATGGAGGAAATGATGGGCTCCACCAAGCCCAAGGAAGGTTCCTAAAATAGTCTGTGGCCATGAGCGTTGGGCAATGGAGCGTTGGGCCATGAGCGTGTGGCTTGCAGAGAGAAAACCAGCTGCTTCTGGTTTCACCCTCAGCTTTCTTGAAACTCTCCAAAGGGGCTTAAAAGTAGAGGGCTTTCTTGTGGTTTTTTGTCATCTTCGGCGTCTCGCTAAACCTGTGTTTCCTTCCTTCCACCAGGTTGCAAAATCAAAGCACTAAGGGCCAAGACGAACACCTACATCAAGACCCCCGTTCGTGGAGAAGAACCCATCTTCGTCGTCACCGGGCGGAAAGAGGACGTGGCCATGGCCAAAAGGGAAATCCTCTCCGCCGCCGAACACTTCTCCATGATCAGAGCCTCCCGCAACAAGAACGGCCCTACCCTGGGGGGTTTGCCCTGTACCCCCAACCTACCGGGCCAGACCACGGTTCAAGTCCGGGTGCCTTACCGCGTTGTTGGGTTGGTGGTGGGCCCCAAAGGAGCTACCATCAAAAGGATTCAACAGCAGACCCATACTTACATAGTCACTCCCAGCAGGGACAAAGAACCCGTCTTCGAGGTGACGGGGATGCCGGAGAACGTGGACCGGGCGAGGGAGGAGATCGAGATGCACATAGCCATGAGGACGGGCAACTACATCGAGCTCAACGAAGAGAACGATTTCCACTACAACGGTACGGACGTCAGCTTCGAAGGAGGAGCTCTGGGATCCTCCTGGTTGGCTTCTAATCCCGTCCCTCCCAGCCGTACCAGAATGATTTCTAATTATAGAAATGACAGCTCCAGCTCCTTGGGAAGTGGCTCCACCGATTCCTATTTTGGAAGCAATAGGTTGGCTGACTTCAGCCCGACGAGTCCCTTCAGCGCGGGCAGCTTCTGGTTTGGAGAAACGTTGCCTTCGGTGGGCACGGAAGACCTCGGGGTCGATTCTCCGGCGTACGACTCCTTAGCGACCCCTTCCCAAACCATTTGGACCCCTTTTGAACCTGTAAACCCTCTCTCCGGTTTCGGGAACGATCCGGTGAATAACGCCAAGCCTCAACGTCGAGGGAGTCAACCCTCTACCCCTCGTCTCTCTCCCACTTTTCCAGAAAACTTGGATCACCCTTTGGCCAGGAGAGTCAGGAGCGACCCACCCGGCACCGGTCATCAAGCCGGTCTTCCCATCTACATCCCAGCTTTCTCCAACGGTACCAACAGTTATTCTTCTTCCAACGGTGGTTCCACCTCCAGTTCTCCACCGGAGTCCAGAAGGAAGCACGACTGCGTCATCTGCTTCGAAAGCGAGGTCATCGCCGCCCTGGTCCCTTGTGGCCACAACCTCTTCTGCATGGAGTGTGCCAACAAGATCTGCGAGAAGGAAACGCCGGCGTGTCCCGTTTGCCAGACAGCTGTTACTCAGGCAATCCAAATCCACTCTTAAAAACAAAAAAAAAAATATAGAGAGAGATATTATTATATATAAACTTTAAAAAAAAACACAAAGAAACAAAACACAAACAAAACTCTTAAAGGCATGGGTGTAATGGTACCCTCTAGTAAACTTCCTAATGAATTCTGACTGTTGGGCTTTCTTGGGATTAGGCTGAAGTTGTCAATAATAATAAAATTGGACTTTTTTGGGGGGGGCAAGGCTGCTACGGTAACACTAAACCGCCGTGGTCTCGGTGGGGTTGAGTGGAAGCAGACGTCGCCTTTAGCAGAGATCCAGCTATGGCTCAGCCAGGGGGACATTGTCATCAAGAAAAAACAACAAAAAAACACCAAACCCCACAAAAATTCAAATTTTAGAAGCTTTTTAAAGGATCTCTGTTAAGCGTTGGGACTTCTGGGCGCTTGGCCACGGAAGGTCCTCGTCTGCCGCGGAGGGTTCGTGGCATTATCAATATATCAAACAACACTTCCAATGCTGCCTTCTTTACACTGCCAGTTTTGAAGAAAAAAACCACAAAACAAACAAAAAAAAACCACAACAAAAAAACCAGGTTTGGGGAAATTGATTAATTTTTTGCCTAATTCTCCAGCATTACAAATCCCTCTTTTGTTTTTGGGGTATGGAAAGGGCAGGTTCAGATGATAAATTATGGAGCTGGGGAGGAGGTTTCGCCTAACGAGAGGACGGTGTGTTCAGAGGATCAGGAAAAAGTCTCTTTTTCTCTTTTTTTTTGGTTGTTTTTTTTAAATTTATGAATTCCTACCCACTGCTTTTCTTAATGTCATGTGGAAAAAGTCTAGCTGGCTTCGTCCCATTTCAGAAAGGGCTTTGGGATGCACAGACTTCAATTAAGAGGGAGGATGCTGACATTCCGTTCATCAGTCCAATCAAGCTGTTCTTAAATTACCTTTTATTTTTATTTTATTTTAATTTTTTGTTTGTTTTAGAGAGCTTAGAGCGTTCAAAATGTGAAGCGTTTTTACGTTGGATCCATATTGGTCTTGCACATCTATAAATAGATATTTTATTTTTAGGAAGGAAAAGGAAAAGAAAGGGGGGGGTGGGAGAAGGGGGAGGGATTCTTTGTGAGGCCCTGCCATCAATTTGCTTCATTTCAAAACTCTTTTTTTTCCAAAAAAGAAAAAAACCACCCAAAAATAATAAAATCACTTCTTTCGACTGCGCTTCTTTTTTTTTTTAACATTTCAACCTGTGGATGTTTCTGGCTTTATTTTTTTTTCATCCTCGGTACCTTTCCCAAATCTACGCTGGCATTTATTAAACCAACAACAAAACAAAAATCACACACACAAAAAAAAAAAGACAAAAAGGGGAGTTTTGGTGGATTTTTTTTCCTATTCTCTTTGCTTTTTCGAAGCGTTATTTGCCCGAGATTAAACGAAGCTCTTGGTTTGTTTGGGTTTTTTTGGTTTTTTTTTTTTGGCTCTCAGTCTAACGAAAAAGAACTTCTACGTGTAGCGAAGTAGTAAAATAGAAAGGTTTATTTTTTATTTCCACTCGAAGAGTTACATTTCGTATGAAAAAGAGAAAAAGAAAAAAAAGCAACAAAAAAGTTTACAAGCGACGGTTTTTATGTTACGATGATTATTTTTTTTTTTCCTTTCTTTCTTTCTTTCTTTCTTTCTTTTTTTTTCAGTCTAAAGAGTTGCCTTGACGGCGTTAATTTCCGTACCGCGCAACTTTAATTGCTCTAATTGCTTGTAGAATAGATAGATCCGTGTCAGTATTGAAACCTAAGCTCTAGTCTTGTAGATAACGAACAAAAAAAACCAACAAAAAAAAACCCCAAAACCCAACCCCTTCACCCCAAGCATGAATTTTTGTATTTTAGAGCATCGTACGCCGCAACTAATTAAAGCCAAGGAAGCGCCGGGACGTTAGGTGCGGGTACCCTTTCTAGAAACCACAAACTTAAGAATGATTAAAAAAAAAAAAAAAGAAAAAGACCAAAAAAAAAAAAAATAAAAAAAAAAAATAATAAACCCCAACCCTATCGAGATAGTTTAGTATTTGCTAATTTTACTACACTTTTTGTTATGTATATGTAGGGAGGTCATAGGGATTATAAATTCAATTTGAGTAAAGTTTAAAAACCATATATATTTTATGATAAAGGGCCTTTAACTTATGATGGCCAAAGCACTGATATTATATATTTGCTGTAAAGAGAATTATAAGAGTTTTATTTTTCTGATATTAAAAGTTACTTAATAAAGACTTGTTTCCATTAACTCAACTGGTTCGCTGTCTTCATGGTTGTCCCTCCGTGTCCCTTCCACCCATGGGGAGGGTTTCTCCATGACCCAGACTTTGCTGTGGTTGGGTTGTGGTCACCTGAGGAGAACCTTGTTTTCCGTTGCCTTGGAAAAGCAACTTGTGGCCTTGGAGAGGACACGGCCACAGGATGCAGCTCGTGGTTTGGAGATACTTCTGTGCAGCTGCAGGAGAAGCTCCATGTGCTCGTGTTTGTGAGCATCAACCAGCAGGAGGAATCACAGAATGGTTTGGGTTGGAAACGTTTGTGAGCATCCACCAGCAGCAGGAATCACAGAATGGTTTGGGTTGGAAGGGAACTTAAAGACCACCCAGTCCCACCTCCTTGCCATGGACAGGGACACCTCCAACCGCACCAGATGGCTCAAAGCCACCAACCTGGCCTTGAACCCCTCCAGGGATGGGGCAGCCACAGCTTCTCTGGGCAACCCGGGCCAGGTTCTCACCACCTTCACAGCAAAGAAGTTGGCCCTGCTCCAACAGTGTTGCAAAAGGACCTCCCTGATGTCCAGGTACATGGTCTCCTGTTGCGTTTCCTCTTGATAGGGTGGAGGTTTGCACCCTGGGCTTCAATGTTTCCTTCTAAAGTCATCGTGTCACCTCTTTGCCCTGGGCCACCTTCTCTTCTCTCTTGACTTCTCTTTTGAGTCGGGTTTTGATGTTGGAGGGAGCTCTGTTGTGGTCTCCTGGGTGGTGGTGTGATGTGCTTGGATCTTCTAGAGATGTTCGTACAGATTTATTCTTACTCCCTGTTGACTCTTTCCTCGTTTCTCACCAACGGAGACCTGCTGGAGGGAGCAGTTCCCTTTGGGGAAGGATCTTGGCAGCCAAGCAGAGCACCTGGACCTCAGACTCTTCCCTGGGCTGAAGGAGAGCAACAGCCCCGTGGTGTGACCCTTTTTGGGGCTGGATGGTGGGGTAGGTACCATGGGGTGCTGCTCTTTGAGGGGGAGAAGGAAAGAAAAAGAGCTCCTTTCTTGGCAGTAGACACAAACACACACCCCCTCTGGAGGTTTTAGATGCCCCACTTGGCTGGGGGTGTCTCACCCCCTCCATCTTCCCCACGGAGGGGAATACGGAGGTGGTGGAGCTGCCTGTGGTCCTCAAAGCCACCGCCCTGGAGCCGGTGGCCTCAAATCTGTTCAGTTTCTTGTGGAGAATATTTCCTTTTAAGTGCCTTTTTCCTGGGCTGAAGGAGAGCAACAGCCCCGTGGTGTGACCCTTTTTGGGGCTGGATGGTGGGGTAGGTACCATGGGGTGCTGCTCTTTGAGGGGGAGAAGGAAAGAAAAAGAGCTCCTTTCTTGGCAGTAGACACAAACACACACCCCCTCTGGAGGTTTTAGATGCCCCACTTGGCTGGGGGTGTCTCACCCCCTCCATCTTCCCCACGGAGGGGAATACGGAGGTGGTGGAGCTGCCTGTGGTCCTCAAAGCCACCGCCCTGGAGCCGGTGGCCTCAAATCTGTTCAGTTTCTTGTGGAGAATATTTCCTTTTAAGTGCCTTTTTCAGAGCAAGTCTTGGGACGAGCTCAGGGAATATTTAAATAGACTTCATTTGGGTCTCGGGGTGGTTTTTGGGTTCCACCAAGAGACCTCAAGCATAAAACCTTCAGGAAGGAGGGAGCCATAACCTCATTCTTCCTAGATGTCCATCAACCATCTGAGATCCCAACCCCTCCAACGTTGGCCTTTGATTCAGCAGAGCAAGCAGCGCCGCGGTTCCTTCTCCCTTGCATAAGACAAACATGGGCTTATATTAAAAAGAAAACCTCAATTTCTCCTCAATTTTGTCGGAGTGAATTTCTTTTTCCAGCCTCGGGAGCACTTGTGATGGGTGAGTAACCAGCCTAGAATTTTGCTCATGGAAAGGGAAGACCTTGCCACCACCGGGCATCGGCAGGAGCCACCAGCTGGTTAGGAAAAAATAAATAATTTTAATGATTAATATATATTTTTTTTAAATTTCAAGGTGAAGCTTTAAGCTTGAATATTTTTTTTTTTTTACCTTTCAGCTTCTGAAGTTCTCCCTCCAGAAGGGACCTCTGGAGATCATCTAGTCCAACCCCCTGCCAAAGAAGGTCCACCTAAAGCAGCTCTTCTTGCTCAGCTCTCCGCAGGGATTGAACTTGCTCCCAGGGACATCAGGTTAAAAAAATTAAAAATAAGTCCCTTTTGTGTTTTTCTTTCATTTCTGCAAGTGGTCAGGCTCAGGAATCTTCTCCCTCCTTGGAACCAAAAGTCTTCTCCAGGTCTAGTGAGGATGAGGGCGATGCTTCCCTTGGGATGAGACCATCGATGCATCAAGACTTGGGAAGCTGAGCTCACTTTTTGGGTTGGAATGGTTAAAATGGAGAGTTTGGGAGAAAACTCACCTGTGGGTGAGTGTCCCAGGAACTCGCCTCGGGGTTGGTGTCCCGGGAAGGAGATCGCTGCCCATGGACACCTCCTGAGCCCCATCCTGGGGCATTTCTTCTCCCTGGAGCTGCTGGGACAACCAGGTGCCAGTGACGTGGGGAGGACTTTTGGAGGCTCCAGGAAAGGCTCTGGAAGCAGGTGGCAGGGGTGGTGGGACACGAGGGGACAAGCACCCAGCTCTGTCCCCAGCTCTGGCACGACAGGCTGGTGGGATCCCATACTGGTGTCCCAGAGCTCCTCTCCCAAAACAAGCCTAAAAGCGGTCTAAACAACAATAAAAAAAGAATATTTAGGGCTTTTTTTTTTCCCCAAAATATCCTTGCCCCAATTTTTTTCCAAAGTTGGAGTGCATTTCCAAGAGCTGCTTGGGTAAAATTGAAAATAAATCAACGGAAAAGGAGTTGAAGGACGTGGGGAGGACTTTTGGGGGCTCCAGGAAAGGCTCTGGAAGCAGGTGGCAGGGGTGGTGGGACACGAGGGGACAAGCACCCAGCTCTGTCCCCAGCTCTGGCACGACAGGCTGGTGGGATCCCATACTGGTGTCCCAGAGCTCCTCTCCCAAAACAAGCCTAAAAGTGGTCTAAACAACAATAAAAAAAGAATATTTAGGGCTTTTTTTTTTCCCCAAAATATCCTTGCCCCAATTTTTTTCCAAAGTTGGAGTGCATTTCCAAGAGCTGCTTGGGTAAAATTGAAAATAAATCAACGGAAAAGGAGTTGAAGGAAATGGAGGTGCAGGGAAAACAAATGGTTTTGGAGCCAAGGGGCTGTAGGACATCCCTCCTGGTGAGACCAGCAGGAGACAGCTCCGGGGGATGAAATAAGGGTGGGGAATGTTGGGGATGGGGAGAGGAGGAATGAAAAGCTGCCGAAAATAAAAGGAAAGGCTGAGTTTTCTTCTCAGCTTGAGGAGGAGGGATGAGAAGGTGGATTCTGAGGCCAGGTGAGGGCTGCCCAAGATCAGGGAAAGAGGGAAATTGGGGCATCAACGAACTGTGTGTCCGTAATTCAAGAGGAAAAAAAATTAAATATGGATGAAGTCAATTGTGGGGAGCTCAGGAGGATCACAGAATCATATTTGGTTGGAAGGGACCTTTCAGATCACCGAGTCCAACCATCAACCCAACACTGACAAAACCACCACTAACCCATGTCCCTCAGCACCACATCTGCCCAGCTTTTAAATACCTCCAGGGATGGTGACTCCAGCACTGCCCTGGGCAACCTCTTCCAAGGCTTGACAACCCTTTCAGGGAAGAAATTGTTCCAAATATCCATCCTCAACCTCCCCTGGTACAACTTGAGGCCATTTCCTTGTGTCCCACCATCCTTGGGATGCTCCGTGCCTGCTCCACCAACCCGTGCTTACCTGAGCATAGTGTTTCGGTGGCATGTCCCCTCCACCTGCTTCTGCCCTGGGCTGCCTGGATGTCCCCACCCACAGCCACCTTTTCTCACCTCTGCCACTGTCCCACTGGGTGTCCTTGGTCATGTCCCTGCACCCTCACAAGCCTTTAAGGGACACAGGGCTGGTGGCTGCAGTGATATCCTGGTGGCCACAGCACTGTCCCACCTCATATTTGTGCCCCATGCCTGGGTCAACAGGGCCTCTGTGGTGCCCAAGGGGCTGGGGACATCCCCTGTCCCCATGTCAAACTCCTGCCTATTCTATTTGTGTTCCCATGGGGGCACCAGGGTTTTGGGGCTGTTGGCCACCATGGAGCCTCCAGGGTGGGTGCCAGGAGATCATAGAATCATGGAATGGTTTGGGTTGGAAGAGACCTTAAAGATCATCCAGTTCCAACCCCCTGCCCTGGGCAGGGACACCTCCTACCAGACCAGGTTGCTCCAAGCCCCCTCCAACCTGCCCTTGAACCCCTCCAGGGATGGGGCAGCCACAGCTTCTCTGGGCAACCTGGGCCAGGCTCTCACCACCCTCACACCAAAGAAGTTCTTCCCCACATCTCATCTCCATCTCCCCTCTTTCAGTGTAAAAACCTTCCCCCTCATCCTATGGCTCCCCTCCCTGATCCAGAGTCCCTCCCCATCTCTCCTGGAGCCCCTTGAGGGACTGGAAGGAGCTCTAAGGTCTCCCTGGAGCCTTCTCTTCTCCAAGCTGGAGAACCCCAACTCACTCAGCCTGTCCTCCCAGCACAGGGGCTCCATCCATGGCTCATCTCTGTGGCCTCCTCTGGGCCCTGCTCCACCAGGTCCATGTCCTTCTGCTGTTGAAGACTCCAGAGCTGGACACACCACACCACGGTGGGTGGCATTTTACTCATTTATTTGGAGTTTTGAAGCCTGGTGCCTGCAGGAGGGGATGAAGCAGAGCTCCTGTGAGCACAACAAACACACACAAAGACTTAATTCCCTTAATTAACACCAGCACCCACAAAGCTGTGTCCCACCAGCTTAAGACTGGCCTGGACAACGCACTTGGATTGAGGGGTCAATGCTGGTTGCACCCAAGTATCTGAGATAGGGGACTGGGAGACGAAGACCTTCTGAAATCCCAGCCCTGCCCCACAGAACGGGTTGAAGACCAATTTTTTCAGCCCCAAAGAGGGTGAAATCTCTCCCCCGAAGGAGACAAAGAAGGCCGAGACTCGAATCTTTACCTTTTTTAATCAAAAACATACTCTGTTACAGAATTTCAGGAAAGTTAACTACAGTATATTATCCACAAACTAGGTCTAATGAAAAACATACAGGAAAAGCTACAAAGGAACTACTGGGAATTCTGGTGACCGCTTATCAAAAGGCAATGGCTACAAGAAGAAACGCTGAACCAGGCTTTCATGCTCGGAAAACAAAAAAAAAGAGAAGGAAAAAAAACCCACACCCCCAAAAACCCTTCTGGAGGTGAGTTTTGGGGGGGTTCTGGGGAGTTGGCAGCTCTCCATCCGGCCGAGTCCCAACTTGGTAGCGCTACCAAATTTCCACCAAAAAAAAAAACCCCAAAAGACACAGAAAAAAAAGGTGCCGGAGCAAGAAAACGCAAAGGTCATCTCGAAAGAATGACGTCCTGTAAATTTTGGAGCGATGCGCGTCAACTCACAAGGCACAACAGCAGCGCCAAAACCTCCAGAGGTTTTTTTGTGGGCAGAGGTTCTGCTCTCCATCAGGTCTCACCAAGTGAGGCCCATCAGTCCTTGGGGACCTCAGCGGTATCCTATGACTCGCCACGGTGCCACCTCCCAGAAACACACCATCAAGAAGAACAAGAGAGACACCAGCGTTTTGGAGGTGGATGATACAACAATTCAGCATCCACACGACCAGTGGAGAAGTGGTTTCCACTGGTTTCGTCTCCCTGTCCAGGACCAAAGGGATGAGCACCCACATCACGGGTGGTAGCGACCACCTTGGTGCTCATCAATAGGGCCAATGCCCTACGACAGGCAACTCCATCCCAAGAACAAAGCCATGGTCCTCAAAAACCCGTTACCAGGCATGGAAACACCAGCAGCAGCAGGACCAGGCAAAACCAGAGCTTTAAAAAATATAAAATGAAGCAACCTCTCCAAAATTGTGTCCCTAACACCACCTGACAACTAAGCGTCTCGTCGTTTCCTAGAGCAGATGTTACGTAAGCAGCAGAAGAGATGAAAGATGTCTCAAATAAAGACCACCATCAAGACGTAAGCAACGTTTGAAGGGTCCAGAGGCAGAAGCCCCCACCCTGCTTACACTGGCAGAGGAGATGTTTCCGTGGCTCCCAGTAGAAGAACTGAGGCAGTCGTTCCTGAGCTACGCCAAGAGGACGCTGTCGTCTTCAGAAGTGTCACGAGAAGATGGTCTACAAGGTAAGGCACAGGAGTTGGACACAGGACTACTGCTGCTACCGACCTGCGTGGTGACTGGGGGAGCCTTCGCCCTGGAGGTCCCTCTCCCCATGAACCAGGCAGATGTTCCTCTGGTCCCTCTCCCCATAAACCAGCCAAATGTTCCTCTGGTCCCTCTCTCCATGAACCAGCCAGATCTTCCTCTGGTCCCTCTCTCCACGAACCAGCCAGATGTTCCTCTGGTTCCTCTCTCCATAAACCTTCCCAGGTCTTCAGTCCACCAGAGCCCTTAATGAAATCACAATCCAGGTCTCTAAATTCATCATTATCCAGCCCAGAAAAGCGACGTTAAGGAGAACCATTTCTTAGTGGTTATTGCTCCTTCTGAGGGATTCCTGGTGGAATTGTCTGAAGGATTTCCAAACCAGCGATGAAGGTTTTTCCTGTCCTACGTCTCCACCACGTCAACTTTAAACGCCCTGGGCTTTCGAAAGGAACAATAAGGCGGCTAAAGCCGGCTAAGCCTTCCGGAGCTAATCCCAGCTCTCCAGTGCACCCAGTGAAATCCCAAAGTCCTCCAGCACAAGGCTGGTTTTGAGGAGCGCGTAATCGAGGGTGAGAAAACACTGGGGTCATTAATTCCGTCGACAGAACCAAGCAGGGCAAACGGGGGAAGGGGATGGCAAACGAGATTGATCGATGAAAAAAAACTCTGAAGGATTTCCAAACCAGCGATGAAGGTTTTTCCTGTCCTACGTCTCCACCACGTCAACTTTAAACGCCCTGGGCTTTCGAAAGGAACAATAAGGCGGCTAAAGCCGGCTAAGCCTTCCGGAGCTAATCCCAGCTCTCCAGTGCACCCAGTGAAATCCCAAAGTCCTCCAGCACAAGGCTGGTTTTGAGGAGCGCGTAATCGAGGGTGAGAAAACACTGGGGTCATTAATTCCGTCGACAGAACCAAGCAGGGCAAACGGGGGAAGGGGATGGCAAACGAGATTGATCGATGAAAAAAAACACCCAACCAAACCCACCCCAAAACTTGTTGAATTGGGTGAATTTGAGATGTTGGGAGGTGAGGAGGAGATGGGATTCTGGGATTCCTGGCATGGACGGGGAACTGTCGCGGCTGTCGTTGCTGAAATAAAGACACCAACACCAAGAGACCCTCAAAGGTTCAATATCTGCTGCTGAAGGGTTTCCCATTGGCCACCCGCTGCCTTTTATGCCTTGTCATACGAAATAAAGGTACAAAAATTAAGCTAAAGGCATATAAAAAACTAAGGATGAGATTCTCTCACTTTGTTCTTGTTGGTAAATTCCATTTTGGTATTTTTTTGCCCCACGCAAAGTCCAGATTTCTCCTGATTTCTCGGTTCCAATAAAAGCCCGTTGACGTCATCTTCTTGTTCTACCCCAAAGGTTTCTGGGCCACCTAAATACTACCATTCGCTGTAGGTAGAGACTTAAGGAGACCTGAAAAACATCTGCAAAAAAATAAAGAGCTGAATTTTCAGGCAAGAACAAC